CCCCAAAACCCCAAAACCCCAAAACCCCAATAAGTTATTTTTATATAGAAACTGTTTTTGTCTCAAAATTAATTATGGGGTGATTATACATGGTTTATTACATTTTCTGAAGTTTTAGAACTGAAAGAGGTTTAAAATAAGTATATATTGAGCTAGTAAATGTTGACTTTTAATAAATTCTGAAGTTAATTATTGATCACTTTTCTATTTCGAAGTTGAATTAGTAAAGCTTCGATTTGGTGCATTGCTGTTTTTATATCTTGTTGAGAAGAAATCTGGACTTATGTTAGGTATTGCCAATAAATTATAGGGTTCTAGCTTGCTCACTCTTGAAAATCTCCTCTGTTCTATCAAAATTGGTCAAATCTCCAAATTTCATGCTTACTTACCTCCAGTCGAAATATCGTAATGTATCGATGACTTTCCGTGTGCCTTTTGAGTATTGGAGTATTTCAGCTTCTTATACAAATTATTCTTGAATTTCCTGAGCTTTCCTCCACGAGTCTGGAATCCAAAAATTTCAGGCCTATTCTTTAGCTTCTGTGATGCATTTGACATAAGCTTGAAGGTACTGTGAGGATTTGGGACCTTCCTTTTAGGCTGGGATAGTCACCGTCCTTGGAGCTGCTGATCCCCTGCTGACATGACTCCTCTTGTGTTGAAGTTGTTGCGAGTCATCACCTCTCCTTTACTAAACATATATCAGAAAAGTCTTGTTTATAGCTTACCTCTTGTAAGGAGTGGATATGTTTTTCCGAACCATGGAGTAAACTTTCTTATTATAGTCGTTTTGTTTGAAAAGTGGGCTAATTTTATTTGCTTTTCTACTCAATTGCTCTTTGAAGTTATGTCTATCTCGTGCTTCTGCTCCTGAGGATTTGATAGGACTCCCAGGAGAAGATCCTTGACAGTAGCTGCTGCCATTTTCTTCATAAATACTTGCCACCTGATGAGATTGTTTGATATATGAAGAGTTATAATAACTCTGTCTCTCTGAAAATATTTCTTGATTTGGAATTATTCGTTGTTTAAATGAATTATTCATAAGCCCAGAATTTGAAGATCCTCCAACATGAATAGCCCTCTTGGGTTCAGGACTTTGTACTTTCTTCCTTGACTTGCCATTTCCAATATTTCCAATTCGAATATTTTTCCTTCTGACACTTTCTTTTGAGCCATCCCGAGAGTTTCAAAACTGTGAGCTTGTAAACCCTTTCTTAAGAGCGAGTTTGGTTCCTTTTAATCTTCGCTTACGCTTGTTAAAGATCCTGGTGAGGTTCCTTTGAATAATTCTCTTGTTCATCTCGCTTTGAGTGATGTCTGGTAAAATAGAATTATTGCCATCTTTGGTGCCTTTTAATCTGACTAAATTTTTATAACCGTTGCCTTACCACGATGAGAGTTATCTGGTTGTAAATGGCTATTTTGTTACCTCTTCCTTTACCTATAAATAAGGTTATTAATATTTGGATTGTAGTTTTAGAAATGATGGATAACTTAAAATTAGGATTCTACAATGATATAGCTTAGGCTCAGAGATATTTAAATAGAAATTTTGTTAGCTTTAAACCTATTATCGCCCTCTTTAGATTACATTTGAGAGCACTTAAAGTTTATACATTGAGTTTTATTGCTCTTACCTTTGATAGCTTTCTTAAGAGGACTAATTGGTGAACTTGCCTTACTTGAAACATAATGTGGGGAGGTTACTGAAGAATAGCTTTCAAGGTTATTTAGGAGCTATCTTTAATTGGCTAGTATCAACTCTTAAATTCTTCTTCTTTCTTCTCCTTGTTCTTAGAATACTTTGAACGATCTCTCAGCCAGGTCAAGTTCTAATAATAATGCTGGGAAACTTTTCACCTGAAAGAGAATTGATATCTGCCTCAGCTTGCATTAGATGCATTGAAGAGGCTTCAATGCCACCAGTATTACATACTTCTCATTCACAAACCTGTACAGTATCTTCAAAATATTGAACATGTGTTCAATTATGACTTTCTCCTACCATTTGTAAATGATTTTTCAACTATTATAACTAATTTCGGGGTTTTGGGGTTTTGGGGTTTTGGGGTTTTGGGG